TATATATATATATATATATATATATATATATATATAAATAAAATGTAGCTGTGTATACTTTAGTCCTTTACTGTCTTAGAGATAATTTGGTACTTGTGATTAGATTAGTTTCCTGAATATTTGATTTGACCCTTGGTTTTATGTAGAGCTGCCGCTTTTCACCATTTCTTCTCAGGACTGTCCACTAAAGTGTTATAGTCAAATGTGTAAAGCTGAACTATGACGCGATATTGGAAAGGTTGGACAGTTCAATTTATTGTCTGGTCTTTCATCATTTTTACAGTTTAGTCTCTCTCATCATTTCCTCTTTCTCAAGAAATCAATTTTGCCATATAATTAAAATGTATGTATTCATGCTAAAGGGCTTTTTTCTGTCAGTAGTATTATATGTATTACTACTTACGCGTTTCTGGTCCTTCTGTCTTTAGTCATACTGTTTTATCTGAGTGCTGTGGCTCAGTGATTGATAACACTGGATCTTTCAAGCAATATCTGCATTGCCATTTGGTTGTCTTACTAGTTTGGCTTTTACAATGTCTTTTGTTTTTAGGTTTTTGTTTTCGCTGATAATATACAGCTGTCTCAATTTGTACTATCCTACAGCTCTTTGACCTTGTCTACAGAGAGGAGACCCTTCTAAACGTCATTAAAAGCGTAACACGTAATGGACGTTCTATAGTCCTGACTGCAGTCCTGGCCCTCATCCTGGTCTATCTCTTCTCCATTGTTGGGTACATATTTTTCAAAGATGACTTCATCCTGGAGGTGGACAGAATACCAAATACAACTGTGGGTAAGGGCTTTCCTGCCGGAATGGCCTGTAGCTGTACATACCTACACATCATCAGGCTGAACTGACAAATTCAGCTCTGCCCACTTCTCAAATGGCTGAGTTCTTAATGCCCTATGAGGAGTGAGTGGCTGATGCTCTGGCCACGTTGTGAGTGAAGTGGCAAACTGCTACATTGGCAAGTCCGACCATTTTCATATTCATTTGGATCTTTTTCCAATTGACAGAGAGTGGCGCCAGCATGGCAGGTGAGTTCCTGTCTGCTGGAGTATGCAAGACTGACAACGGGGGGAACTGCTCCATGGAAAACGCTTTGGAAGGTGTGTTCTCCACATAGTTACATGCAGAGCTCTCAGGACAGCTGTGGTGGGAGTGGCTGAGACGGCATGAAATTTAGGGCAGCAAGGCTGGGTCAGGTGGGACCGCTCTCCATCAGGTGCTAACTTTTCTGGGGCCTTGTCATTTATCTGTTCATTTATTGACTAAGCAAGCACTACCCAATATGAATGCCCTGTATAGCACATGGTGGAGTAACTTACTAGCCTAAAAATAGAATAACAGTTAAACATGACATCCCCCACATAACTATGCCATAAGAAAATAACCAGTACACTAATCAGTAGAGACATGTAGTAAGATAATATGCCTATTAAAGCAGGTATGTATCCATTCATGCTAGAATTAATTGGTAAGTCAGTTGAGTGCGACATAAGTACGTTAGTGGGGAGATGGGTTTTTGGTCACCTTAAAGTGTCAGGAATCTCCAAAGTTGTGTGTGTGTGTGTGTGTGTGTGTGTGTGTGTGTGTGTGTGTGTGTGTGTGAAATAGACCACCACCCCCAACACACACACACATACATGCACACACATACAGTATATATTTTACATTATGGGGACCACCTTCTCGGCTAGATTATTTCACCAAAGAGAGACTGAGCTCAGAAACAGACTTATCTCTGACCTTTAAAGAACCGAACAACAGTAGATATAGATGCCACAGATCCTGGGTTAATGAGGCTCTGTAGAGCAGAGCCACACATCTCAGTCCAGAAAGCTGACACCGGAGTTATGAACTTGATCTGGGCGTCAATTGTTACCCAGTCAAGAAAGATCAGGAAAAGACACAGGAAGTTGGTCAAAGATCATGCAACACCATTCTGCAGTGGTGTTATGATGCATTCTGGTAGTCTGGCTTTGAGGTAGCTGTGGCTGTCCAGATGATACATTATGGCCAGTTAATTCCTTGTATGTATTGACTATGCCCATCAAGGATTATAACACTTAAACAGGATACATTAGCTGCTCCTACACAATTGGACACTAAGGTTTGGAATCACTTTATAAACCTACCCCTCTTTGCATTTTTTCGCTTGTTTAGCACTTGGAACTGAAGGTGATCTCTGTCCTTCCAGAGGCTTCTGAGGACCTTTCTGAAGATAAAGAGCGCACATGTGACTCCCTGCTCATGTGCATCGTCACCGTGCTGAGCCATGGACTGCGGAGTGGGGGAGGAGTTGGGGACGTCCTACGCAAGCCTTCCAAAGAGGTATATCAGCGGACAGGACACAACTTGGGCAGCTTAGTCACTATTTAATGGCTAGGCAGTTTGACCCACTCAGGAAAAAGTTATTGCACATAAATTTTATAATTCACTTGAACTTTTAAGGTGGTCACAGCAAAAGTGAACATAGTGCATACTGAGGTATGGAAGCTATTCATGAGCACGTATAACAGCATTTAGAACAGCACCTGCAGTGGTATGTTAAAATAGGTTCAGGAAAACCCAAACTAACTAGAATAGTCTTCAGGTTTAAATACTAACTGTGACTATGACTGCTTGTCCTTAAACTCACTGTAACAGTGCTTCTCATAAACAAAATTTTTAACCTGCAGATTTAATTGTCTACAAGTCAATCTTGTCCATATTAAAATGATGATAATTATTTAAATCCGTGTGTCTTCATTTTGGAAAGATTTGTTTATGTCAATTTTTTTTTAGGGAAAGGTGAGGAAGGGAAGTCTATAGTTGGGTAATTGTGCATCCAAGTTTGACTTTAATTGTGCCTGACTACTGCTATTTTGGAAAAGTTATGAACAAAGCTTCATAATAGGGTGTGTTAATAGGGTGTGTTAATGGAGTGTGTTAATTTGACGGATGCGCCCGGTAAGGAGTGCCAGGGGAGATTTCAGCACTTGGGGAAGCTTGCCTTCCAGTGGGCAGGTTTTGTTTTCATAATATTTGTTTGTAATCATAATATTTTCTTATAATTGTGGATTGGCTCTGAAGTCTTATCAGTTTCTGTTAAGGAAGTCCATGCAGTCATTAATCTTAAGTCTGAATCTTATCTGTAGTGTTAAGATTTAAAAGGAAGTGAGGGTTGTTGCTTTTTGTTTGTACCAAGAACAAGTATTTTAAGAATGAACATTTAACAATAGTGTTATTCAGTAATTTTGACTTGTGTAATGGAAAACAAGATGCTGAATTCCCCTCAGTTGAACATCATAATTTAGTCTAATGATATTTGCTATTTTCAATTACTTTACTTATGTTCAGTTATTGTTATTCTATACCCTGCCAGTTATGATAGACACCATCTCTTATAAAAGCCACGGAAATGCTAAAGCCTGAACTAACACAGGGAGAGAATGCAAACTCCCATCACACAGTCAGAGTGAATTCACAACCTTGGAGGTACAGTATGAGTCACTGTGCCTCCCTAGCCTGCCTTGGGGTTTTATATACGTCATCATGGACTTCATTTTTAATGCTCTAATTTGTTGATCTTTACAGTGTTTCCCGCTGGTGGGAGTGTGCTCACCTGTGTGTGCGCGCACATTGGGGAGGAAACGTGCAATCGTAGGAAATGGTTACATTTTGCATGGAATTGTATTGCTCTGGCTTGAGGGAGGCATTTTACAGAAATGACTGAATTGCAGTCCTTAGGAATCCTGACCTTTCTAGTTGTCCAGTCCTTGTTGACTGATGCTATACCATACCACAGGATGCATGAAACAGACACGCTCTTAATGGAAGACATAAATCATGGACAGTAGAAGCTGGAAATCATTCTGTATGGTAATTGGATAACTTCAAAGTATAACTAGTATAACAAAGTATAACTATAAATAATAGGGTAATTCTCTGAAATGTGTTTTGTATATACCTTTATAAATGATTTGACAAGTCAGGTGCACAAACAGGTAAGTCACATATTACTGTTTTAGATCTTCTACTGGGTCTTCTGACACAGTATCTAAGTGCCATAATTAAGGGACAGGCTGCTGTTAATTTATTCTGGATGTTTTGAAGTAGCAATACTCCAAAAAGAAGGATAATCTAGAGATAGCAATGAGCATGACTGTGTAGCACAGCGAGTATGAGGAGTGAGGAGTAACAATACTCCAAAATGAAGCTCTATTCCTGTAGTTACACAATCTTTTTTCATGAACCTGGTCCAGTGTCCAAACCAACTCCTCCAGCAAAAGTCGCATTTGTACAATTAATTGTATGAAAGTGAAATATGAAATAGCAGTGCTGTCACTGCTGACACTTTCTTTATATAAAGGTGCTTCATCTGAGCCTAGTTAAGATACTTATTAATGTAATTAAAGAGTTTATTTGTGAAGGTATGTTCATTGATGACTGTGATGGGTTGGTGCCCCATCCTGGGTTACTGTCTTCCTTGCGCCTGCAGCTTCCAGGGTAGGCTCCAAATACCTGCCACCCTGCATAGGACAAGCGGGACGATGGATGGATGGATTGATGGATGGATGGATGGATATTTTTTTTCTTTCAATTCTCTGTTTTAACCAAGCGATAATTGAATCTAAAACTATCATAGTACTAGACAACACTAGCAGAGATAATGGCAAAAGACTCATGAATGAAGTCTGTAACATGCAACATTTTGTTGGTACAGGAGCCCCTGTTTGCTGCAAGGGTGATCTATGACCTCCTGTTCTTCTTCATGGTTATCATCATTGTCCTTAACCTAATCTTTGGAGTCATCATCGACACCTTCGCTGACCTCAGGAGCGAGAAGCAGAAGAAGGAGGAGGTCCTCAAGACAACATGTTTCATTTGCGGTGAGTGGTGTTTCAGATGGATCAGAATCGAGTGATAGGAATCAAGTTCTCTCAAAGTTGTGCAAGTTGGGGATTGGCATTGATGTCATTGCCAAAGCAAGACTTGTTTTGCTCTCTGAGTCAGTTCTCACCTTATGAGCACCAGTCTGCTTATTCAGAATGCCCCCATATCATTAAATTCCCCCATATCATTAAATGACCCCATAGCACTGGTGTCTTTTTGCCATGGTACCGTCCTCATTCCAGTTTATGACCGTTCAGTTCACAGCCCCTTTATCCACAGACACTCCTCTGTTTGAGTATAAATTCCGTCTTTCACTGGCTTTACTCTGTTGACCTCCATGGCTCTGAGGGCAAGAGTAACCCCTTGTAGCCTTCCCCCCCCTCTTCCTCTGAGGCCTGTCGGTGCCGATCGCCTGTGTGGGCTTTCTGGAGTGCACTACTTGTGCTCTTATCTCACCAAGGTGTTGATTAATTATGAGGTCCAAGATGGCAGACATGAAATCTTCTGGAATATTTATTTTTGAAGTTTATAGGACATTTTCATTAATCGGTTAATATTCATGTATACCACTGGTGATTATGGGAGACTAAAGTTCATCTTGGGATAGACCAGCAGTCCTTCTTTTGGAACCTCCAGCATCTTGTTCTTAAACCCAGTGCTACCAGCTACTCATTTTGAAAAGGCATAATTTATTCCATGCCTGTTTTTACGTGGGTGTTCTATATGCCTGAGGATGAACATTATTAAATGTCTAGCTGTCACAGAAGAGGCAGCAGTTACAACACTGTGCGTGAGCTGGCTAGACTTATACTTTTCACTAAAATCCTAGACTCTGAATTTGACTCTGAATCAATTAAAATCAAAACAATAACCTATATGTTAAATCTGCTATGTTGCTCCTTCACATTACCTAAATGCTGATGTAAATGCTTTACTTGCTTTCTAGTAGAGCATTTACCACTGTCCTCAAAAAGAAAAGCCTGTATTTACAACACGTTAAGAAAAGGATAGTTTGTATGGTAACTCCTCTGATCTCATGCTTGTTGGTTTGCTTTTGCAGGGCTGGAAAGGGATAAGTTTGACAATAAGACAGTGACATTCGAGGAACACATAAAAGAGGAACACAACATGTGGCACTACCTGTACTTCATTGTTCTTGTGAAGGTCAAGGACTCTACAGAGTACACAGGGCCTGAGAGCTACGTGGCTGAGATGATCAAGGTAGGAAGGTCTGTGGGCTGCCGGGGAGGATCTCATAGCTAATCGCCATGATGTCGTTTAACAAGATGAAATGCATACGAGGCAGTGTAATTTTTTGTGTCTTCTGTCCAAACTTGAATTGACATCATGATGTTTTACTACTTTAGCACGCTCGTTTTTCGCATCAGTCCGTGGGAGACGGTGACTTTCTGTGGTCCACAATCAGTTGATTGGATGGGATGGAGGAGGGGTTGTCCTATAACCATCCCCCGGCCTCCTGACCAGCTCTGCAGTACCTTATGTCTTGCTCCTTGTTGAAATAACGCCATTTTAACCAATGTCCTTCTACTCACTCTCCCTCCCTCTCTGTCCCCTTCATCAGACTTATTACCAAACTGTACTTCACTTGAACTGTTTTGCTTGCAGCGTTACAAAGATGGAAATTGGAGGACCCCCCCCCCCCCGTAGAATAGATATTTGGTGGTGGGGAAGTCAGCAGGAACACTGCAAGTTTCGTTTTACTTTAAGTTTGAATGAACTAAAAATGTAGTCAGATTGCTGAGCCTGAGTCAGCCAGATAGCAGCCCTACTGTGACGATAATAGGGAGTCTAAAGCAGCCGGTTAATCCTTTCGGTACTGTAGGTGCAGTTTGCTTATTTAGATGCGCAGCAACCTGTCCACGTCTCATTTTGTAGCTGCAAAACCACATAGCATCCTGTCTCGGTTGCTCTTTGTGGTTTTAGAGTAAAAAAAAAAAAAGAGACTTCATTTCTAATTAATTAGTACAAGGTTGAAACGCAGGTTGGGGAACTTACTGATAATGCTGATAATCATAGCTCACTTCACTGGTCGCAGATTCACCACTGGTCTAATCAGAAACTTTTTTTTCCAAACTTTAAAGAAAATTTCAGAATTTTTAAGCATGGATTTCTTTTAATGGCTGTTTGTCCTTGAAACAGAAGTTTATTCCACGTTAGTCTCAGCCATGTTCACTTGCCGAGTTTAGATAACAGAGCCCCGTATTAACAATGTGGTTGCTATGGGCACAAGCTCTTCTGCAATTATTCATTTGTGCCATACCTTATTAGGTGTGTCGCAGCTTGATAAAATGCGAAAATTTCCAAGTGGTGTGGGTGTTTGGGCGAAGTAGCCATGAGAATGAGCTCTGGATGTGATGAGCCTTGAGTAGCGGCCGGGGGAGTAAGCGATGGCAAAGGACCTGGTGTCGCAGGATCTGCGAGGGGAAGTGTTAGAGATGCAAAACGCCATTGCCCCAATGGTGTCTGACAGCTGGGGTGTGATGCACGGGTGTGGCAGAGGGGGATAAATATGGGCCCGGTGCCTTCATGCTCTTACGAAGCAGAGCTCATGCAACGCCCTCAATTTGCTTTTCTCAGAATGAGTGTGAGTCTGCGTGCTTCCCCTACGCATATGACTAAGCCTGGATGTGGCTTCGCTCTGGGGCTGCTTTCCGAGCGTCTGAGATTACAAACGTGCGTCGGCGGGACTTTTCCAGCGCAGCCCCTGAGCTGGTGTGCGGCTGCCACCGCTTCCTCTCCTGCGGTTTCTGCCGATTCCCTGCGGAGCAGGTGTGCATGCGTGTGCGTGTGAGGTGTCTGAGCGCCTGCGGATCCGTGCGTGCGTGTGCGTGTTTGGGTTGATGGAGCCGTGGATGCGATGCCTTCACGCCGCTCAGTGCTGCTGGCGGGCATGTTGACAATGCAGAGTGGTGTGCAGCGGAGGAGAATGCCATGCATTGAGTGCACAAAGCTGCCCTGTGTTTGCTGGCTGAATCCCAACATTCCCTCACAGTGTTTTTGTCTCTGTGACAATGGTGAATTTTTTTAAGGGTTACCTAATGACTGTTAGGAAAAGCAGTGTCACTCTGTCCTCTGTGTCGCAGTGTGGAGAACTGCATTTCCTATCAGTGCCCTGTGCCAACAATGCTGGGGCTTGTGAAAAGTACATCAATCGGTTATCACCTGCTTTCCTGAACAATATATGTGGTAGTGAAAAAGGTGATATCACCCGAGAGTGTACACCAAGGCCGATGCAGACAAAAGACTAGGGGTCATGTCATCCAGGTGTTTCCAAATGCCCCTACCAAAGTGGAGTGTGGGGGGGTTTAGTACACCAATAAATGGTGTTCTGAAGATTTTTATTTTCATCTATGAACGAATTATGATTTGAAGACATAATTTGTGAATAAAATTACATGGCTCTAGTGCAGTGTTTCCCAAGTCCTCAGGGAACCCCAGACAGTCCATGTTTTTGCTTCCTCTCAGCTCCCAGCGCACCTGTACCAGGTATTCGGTGTTCCTGATTGGCTGGGAGCTAAGAGGGAGCAAAAACGTGGACTATACCAGGGTTCCCCAAGGACTGGGTTGGGAAACACTGCTGTAGTTTACTGGGTTCATAAAAATGTATAAAAAGTACTCTCTGCCTTATTGAAAACTAAATGTACTTAAACTTCAAGGTTCTAGCATGTGCCCACTATTCCAGCCAGTGTGATATGCGATTGAGCCTGGCTCTTCTACTCTCTCCATTTCAGGAGCACAATCTAGACTGGTTCCCTCGGATGCGGGCTATGTCCCTGGTGAGCAGTGATGCGGAAGGGGAGCAGAATGAGATCCGCAACTTACAGGAGAAGCTGGAGTCTACCATGAAGCTTGTATCTAACCTGTCTAGCCAACTAACCGAACTCAAGGAACAGGTAGAGTCCTCAGATGGCTTGACCGTGGAATGGTGCAATAGATTCTGGGTTTTTACTGCTTCAGTCTGAGAATATGAAGCCAGAGGGCTTGCTGTGTGTCAGCGGCATCATAATTTAAGCCTGACTGACACTGGAATTTTTTTCTCACACTATTCCCCATTGCATTGACCTAGAGTGAATCAGCTATTATTAAAAAAAAAAATAGAACCAGATTAATTTCTCATACAAATGATAATAGGTGCAGGAAGAAATTATTTTCAACACAGAAAAAAAAATTATAGTTCCGAGGAAGAAACCCGGAAGGAACAGTGCTCAAAAGATTAAATCTGCCAATCTTGTGGAAGATCAATATATTAATAAGAGCTGTCACAACTTCAAGATGTGCAAAGATCACCTTGCATTTCGAAGGCGGCCATGATTGATTGTCTCCTTCAAGAGTTCATTATGACAGTGACATGCTATTACTATTAGGCATGCTGTCGACACATGGACAGATGCCACAGTGCAAGAATAGGGCAAGAGCAAGCAAATCGCTTCCCAAACAGCTCCTAAAAACAAGACCTCCATCTATTATATCATTCTAAACCCAATTTCTGAATCTGCTTTACTATGTTACTAATAATCAGGCCTGAATTACCACCTCCACCCCCCAGAGTTCTGTCTATCTCCCATCTTACACATTAACCAAGAGATCAGAATGTGTTATTAGATGTCAGAAAGGCTCAGAGTCTTGGCATCAGCACCCATTTCTCAGGTCTCTACTAATTCCTATAAAAGGACAGTAGAACGGAATCCTGTGTGCGTGTCTATTTGTATTTCTTTACATATTAACTTTGCTATTGTGTGGCTTTAAAACTGCAGTGCAGAAAAGTACTTGGAACTTGTAGCAAATATTTTTTTTTTTGTAAATAGATTTTTAATATGCTAGTGGCCAAAATTGTGAAGCACCTAGCATTTTTTGCATTATGCTTTAAAAATTGCTGCACTAATATTGACAATAACGTTTATAAACAAAGAATGTTACAAATTTCATGCATTGAACGATTAAATAAGTAACTGAAGCAACAGCTGAATAAAGTTCTGTGATCTCTAAAAATTGGAAGGGTTTCTGCAATTATGGCCACTAATGCAATTTGAGTGCATGGATACTGGTCAGCTGCATAAGGAGTTAGACGATGGATGGATGATACAATACATAAAGTTTTTTTTTCACATACATGTATTGTATTTCATATATTTCTAACATAAATAAAGTAAAACGCTAATCTTGTTATAAGGACCAGCTGAAGTTTTCGCATTGACTGGCATTGACACTAGCCATACTGGGGCAGGTTATCAGCCTTTTCTCTCCCCTCAGTTGCCTCAGAGGCTCAGTTGCAGGACAAGTGGCTTTTCTTGCAGTCGGCATCAATGCCAGGGAGAAACAGCCCCCAGTGAACAGCCCCCATCGGCGCTGCGGAGCTGTCTGACAGCAGTGACACACGCAGTCGTGTCACGCCGGAAATGACTGCTGTGTTCTGTGAAAAGGATGTGTGAAATAAAACGGCAAGCCTCATGTCCTGTCAATTTTTTCCAGATGACTGAGCAACGGAAGCAAAAGCAGCGCATCGGGCTGCTGGGCCACCCGCCGAACATGAACGTGAACCCCCAGCAGCCGGCGTGAGGGCGTAGATCCACCTCAGGCCGAGCTGTTAGCTCTGCAGATTTCACGCCTTCCTGCTGCATTCTGAATGTGTGGCCGACGGGCCGGGCTATGAGGCCCAAGCAGAAACATCTAGCGATTTACAAGTTAAAAGTGTTTCAGGTGACTTAAAGGTACCTACCTGTGTAAACCGCCATTTACCTTGTCCCTGTCCTGTTTAGATTGTTGCCAGTCTGTTTTTATACGAAGTGGTTGGGTTTCAATGACGTGGCCTTCACTGGGTGAACTTGAAATGCCGCAAAGCCATACAGGACAGAGACCAACTGAATGGGACACTCAACATGAAGTTTCGATGTATGAATGAGACCATTTTTTGCCAGAGGGGGGAACAGTATTTAATGTCTTATTTTTGTATGTGCAATATGGGTACTGTAATATGCAGCCACATTGATGTATAATATTTGTGTCTAAAAAGAAAAAAGGTAAAATACTCCTTTTCTGGGTCCTTCTTATTTAATGATCCTGAACTAAAGGATGAGGTTGTTTCACTCAGAGTGCTGTTGGTACATCTCTTCCATTATAAAGAACATTAACCCCACTGGCTTTGCATGAATGGACCTCGCTGGTTATTTATACATCATCTCTCTTCAGGGCATCATGAAGTGAGACCTAAATGTTTATGAAATTTCACAAGTGCTTTGTTAATTTGTATATGGTCTGAGAGCAATACATGCAATCTATTTTTTCTGGAAAAAAAAAAAAAGATCTTACGTGTTTGTCATTCCTCTATATTTATTATGAACCTATTTTATGGCACATTGTGTGAGTAATATTTTTTAGTACAGTAGCAGTAAGATCACCAAATTTCCACATTTTCCCACGAATTTCCACAGAAAGCTGCAGGATTTGGAGTTTCTCTAGTCTCCGATTTAGCTTCCCCTGACTCATGTATCGCAGTCATTCCTCTGTGAGGTTTGTGACCTTCTGACTGCTGCCAGTCATTGTATCTCTCCCTTCCAGAGCTGTAGCTTAGCACTGACACACTACCTGGAAAGTCACCTGAGGGTCATAGTGTAGATGTGAGTTCAGGTACGATGAAGTTTTCCTTTTAAAAACAACCAAGATTTGTACTAAGGGCCATTTTTAATAATGGGCATCAAGCCAAATAGAAATATTCTGAGTAATAATATAAATTATTTGAATCTTGTTAGGGCTGTATATTCATTTAATAAAATATATTTAATAAAGCGTGTGTCTTTCACCATACTTAACTGTTTTTTGTGACTTATTTTGAAGCTGGGTAGTTCAACTTGTAACAAAATTGCAGTATCTTTGACTGTTTAACCAACGGCAGGTTTGCATTTGGGAATCAAACTGATAAAGTATTGTGAATTGTTTGTAATCAGAAAATCTGTCTGTAATAAGAAGCGATAGTGAAACAAAAAATAATCAAAGGACTAGTGGGGATAGCATCTGTTTATGTGTGTGCCTGTTTGTCATTATCAGTCAGTCTAACACTATTGGAACAAATGGAATTGGATCTTTTATACATTTTAGATACAAATGTAAATTGGCATTTTAATATGAAAGCAGTCTGAAATTGCTTGGGAATTGACTTTTTAAACCTCTGGCAGCTAGAATGCAGAATTTGGAGTTAAATGAGTCACTGAATATTCAATATGCTATCCCACTGAAATCATTACGTATCTGTTTACACACGTATTGCGTGGAGGCCGCCGCCATTTCTAATCACATACATGAGTCTTGGAATCGGCTGCTGAGCAGGTTGGACCAGACCTTTTCTAGGGACACAGACTGCAGCCCAATCCAGCTAGGAGATGTAATTCCTCAAGGGGGTCCTGGGTCTTCTGTGGGGCCCCCACCCTGTGTGACGTGCCAGGGACAGCTCCTCTACGTGCCGTTCAGGTGGCATCCTTTCGGCAACCACTCCAGCTGGCTCCTCTCAATCCAAAGGAGCAGCGGGTCTATTTCAAGATCTAACTGCTGAACCTCCAAGGATTATGGGTATAGTGTGCTGGAGCGGTTTGCCTGTCTTAAGGATACACAGAACCATCTCATCTGGAGCATGAGCTTAGTGGACAGGGCTGTAGACACTGACCTGGCAAATTAAGACAAAAAACCCCAAATGAATAGTACCAAGAAGAAAAAGTGTACGCTGCTCAGAAAGAGGATGTGAGGACAAAACCCTGGAGGTAGTGTTTGCAGGCATGTGTCTGTTGGCCATGCTGTCCATGTAATGCAGCTGGGCTCAGCCTGAAATGGCTACCTGGAGCCATCTTATGGGCTCAAAACCAGCAAGGTGATAGGTAGTGGTCAGTCGCAGTGCCACTGGGTGGCAGGCTTGAGCACGAAGGATGCAGAACACCAGACCATGGCAATGAATTTATTGTTGCCAAGTATAAAACGGGATGCATTTCATAGGACTTCACACACAGTACTTCAAGAAATAAACCGACAAGTGCAACCGTCTAGACTACAACACCAGATGAGTGTAAACTATTAACAAAGTGTAGGAATTTCCAGTGACTGTATGGGAGGCTTAGAGACTGGTGGGTGTGATTAGTCAAAATTAAACTGAATGACTGACCTCTCACCTGGCTATGGCGCCGCTCTGTAGAGAAATTCCTATGAAGCAGGTTCTTCTGTTACAAAAAAAAGAAGAACAATCTGCCCATGGATTACTGCTTCAGGTGTCTGTAGAAACAGGCCCAGTCAGGGATGGAGGCCCTGACCATGAGAGAGTTTAGCTTCCAATAAAACAGAAAAGCTGGCCACTATTTAGATGAGGGGAAAAAAATAATATATTTCTCAGTTTTGTAAATCTAGGGCGGCTTGTTCTTTATGTTTTGAGAAATGGCTCATTGTGTTACAGAAGGATGGATGTAATGCAGAGCAGAAGGGCGCTTCATCGCTACGGGTGACCGTGGAGAAATGAGTTTGGTCAGACAGATCTGCCGCAAATCAGTCACACTGCATGTTAATGTTTTATCCCAATGTCTGTCCTAAATTTTTAATTCAGTTGATTTTTCTGAGTTCATCCGTCCCCTATGGGCAGAAAGCTGACAATATTACTTTGCAGACTAATACAAATCATTGTTCATATAAGAGAACAACTGTGACTGGTCACATTATGTGGAATAGGACGGGATCAGTAGATGGGCCAGCACTGTATTACAGCCCCAAGGTCACTGCCTGATGTCGTACGCAAACTGCTTTACTTGGGTCACCTGTCACCCTTGGCTTCAAACTTGAGGAAGGAAGGAACAGCATTTTAGAAGCCAGACATGCAGGCGGTGGAGGTGTTACCTCAGTACCCCCTATGAAATCCCCTGGTGTCTGCTGACACCGGAATGAAACCTCTTGGTGCGTCTGTGATGTGAAACGACCGTGCAGCAGGGAACTGTGACTCTCGAGTACACTGCCGCTGCCAGGCCTGCAGCTGCACAGGAAGAAGCTGATGATGTAAGACGATGGCCCAGTCAAATGAGGATTGTGTTTGTGTTGGCATATAATTCTGCAAATCTGTGTATCTTGGCGGATACCGTGGCTAACAATATACTTGTTATTCATGTATTGATTGTGACTGCCAGTGAGTCTTGAAGCATAACGTGTCCTGCAGTGACTCTGACCTGCAGTTGTCTCTCATACATAATAGCGTCACCTGGCGTATAACATGAAAAGAGAGACCGAAAACGTATTTTCTTTCCCGCTCACAGATGTAAAATGAGCAAGGGAATGAATCAAACCAGTCTATCTTACATGCAGGTGGAGCATTTAGCTGCCTGACCCTGGGTAGCCTTAATACAATCTACTTTTTCATCACTGGTGTCTATCCCCTGCAGTGTTTGGCACAAATAACCTGGTCCTGTGTCCTGAAAATAGCCATCTTTGAACTGAAATGTTTCTATACCATATACATCTCACACATGCACAGCAACACACACAGCTTATACTTTTCCCGCCTAATATATTCAGTTGAGTTCCAGTTTGAAGTTCAATTACTTATTCATTATAGTCATGCATCATTAGTAAAACACTGATACACGCAAATAGCACAGTCGTTACTTAAATATGGAGCCTTTGGCTCACTAAAGGTGCTGAGCATGGCTGTAAATCTACTATCAGGCAGAGGAACAACAGTCATCTCAAATCACGCAAGTTTGTGCCCCAAGTTGCAACCTTGTACAGTATATTACCTAGTGGTTCTGGCTTCCCTGCTTTTGGTAACTTAAAAAAAGACTACAGTATGTGACGTATTTTTCAATACCCTAAAGAACTGGTGTAACAAAATCATTAACAATAAAACGTTATGTTCAGAACCATAAAATAATCACCGTCATCTGTCCCAAAAACAAACATAAAAGTAAATGTTTAAAGTCTGTGTCGCACAAACATTCTCAGTTTTATGTTAGCTAGACAATAACACTTGTGCTGTTTGCGTCCGCATTACCTCGCAGACTGCACAGTTCATGTCCTACGCTGCTTAGTAAACGTTTTGCGCAGAATTCTACACTTAATTGTAATCTAATTTTAAACCTAAAATTTGCATGAGTATGCATGTTAAAATAAATATTAAAATTCCATTCATCCAATTCTGTGTCGGTGATAAAAATACATTTTCACCAAGTTTTGCTGTATAGCATCAAAATTTAATTACCTAAGTATGAACAGAAGTATAATTAGGACTATAGATAGTTCCAACCGAAAATCATGTAACTGCAAACAGAAAGGTACGCTAGCAAGTAATTATTTCGGCCCCATGTGCGTTTCCAGGTGGGTGCTTTAAAATGGACGGCGTACTTTTCCCGTCCACCAGTCGGTCGCATTGCTTTCTCTCATTTTTCAGTCACTCACAGAATTACTTAAATAAATAATACACTTAGCACTGTCAGTGCAATGCCAAACAGTGCATTTACTGCTTTTTACGATGAGCCTTATTTTGCTGCTGCATGTCAATTACCAAATAGTTGATATATCTGAATAATACTTCACCTTGAGTTCAAGCCTTAGGTAATATATTTATCTGGTCTAATATGAGTATGACGGATAAAAACTAGTTACCAGCTTATTTTAACTGAGAGATATCGGCTATCTGGACATTTACAAGCATCACACCGACTTGACAGACCCGTGACACCCTGCGCCGCTTCCGCGCGCCCCATTGGCTGCTCCGCTTCGGACTGGCAGCTGACGCGAGCCATGCGCAGGCACGTTATTCGGAAGCTGCTGCCTCGCGAGCTTGAGCGGGTGATGCAGCTCGGGCAACGCGGCTGCGCCGAGGGGCGAGGACCATGAGGAGATCAACGTGACCGGCAGCGCCAGTCTATGCGACGGCCCGTCGTGGGCGCCCTGCCAGGCGCGTGCACGAGAGCAGACGGGTGCACGTGGGCAGATGGGTGCACGGACTGCCAGTGGAATACCGTCGTGGTTACGCACGTCCTACCGAACCGGCAGACTGCGGCTGTCACTGAGTCTGCAGGGATCGGTTTTTCCATGGCATCTCTTAGGAGGAGGCAGAACAAAAAGCGACGTCCCTGCGATACAAATGATGTTTGCATTTCGCACAGTATTTTGTGTATTCCATTAAACACTAGCTGGAAACATTTACAGCTGTGATATTGCTAGCAAACCATATGTGGCTTAAGTAAATCAAATAATGTAAGATTTCCCTTGCTAACCGAATTGAAACACTGAAATGTAATTTTTCTCATAGCTGTTCAGCTTGTGGTGGCTTACTCGGCTTTTCCTATCAAACGCCGAATAGTTGAAGTTTATTTAGTTTTTCTTTCACATAAAGAATAAAGAAAATGCCATATGCACTATATATAAAACTGGAAATCACCTGCGCTAAATATTCCATCACATCTTTTCTGGTTTTATTGAAGCTACTGCGTATCAGTTTTTATTACTTTTGATATGAATTAGTTGATATGCGTAACGTTAAAATAATTAATAGTCTAATACGAGACAGTAAGCAGTCGATTGTGCTTCCTCATTAATAATTTTAACACTCAGCTCAGTAATTTATTTGAGAATAGACTTGGCTAAGTAGAATTATGGTCGACTGTATATCAAAACTCCCTAAATGAATACACAAGAGGAAAAGCTTGAATCTGCGGGCGATATAGAAACCTGATAATTCACCAAGTAGATTTAACTAGTCCAGGAACTATCAGCTCTCTCCAGATTGTATCACATAAACTGCAAAGCGACGAATAAAGATTTCATTTAAATGTTTTAACAACCGATAACGTTCAGTTTCCGAATTTCAGTATATTTAACCAATATATTTGTTGTAAAATGCGTTTTATTTGTGAATTACGACGGATCTATGCCATTAAAGAGATAAAAGTTTGAAGATTTGTATCTCTCAAAATATGTCAATATAATAAATCGCATGTGTTACTTCGTACAATACGTTTTCGTGGCTAACAGCGCAAATTCTGCCTTCAAACTCGATCGTCTCCCTCGTTTACAGTTACTCGTTATTTTTATTTCGTAAATGATTGTTTATGACACTTTAAAATCTTTAAAGCAGATTTTGCAACAAACCAAGCGCGCCGATCTGTACTATGTACTGCAAGCTCCCCCTCCCCCGTCCCCCCCTCCGTAAGGCTCCTAACATGGTCTCCCGCACGTTTCAGATGGCCTCGGGCACTGCGGCTGGCAGTTTAGGTGGAGCATGGCGGTACACGGGACTCCACCCGCCCGTCTGACACGGAAACGCCGCTTTCTCGCACGCGGAGGGCGACGGGACCGCGCTCGTTTGATCCGAACTCGCCGCCCGACACGTGAGGCTCATGTGACGGAGGCAGGTCAGTCCGCGCGCAGTCACAGGGTTTATTTAACACGTAGCTCAGTCCACCCACTCCGCCACATTTAACCAAAGCCGCAGTTCAGGGGCGACACTCACTCCGTTTGGATCTCGGCTTGACAACATCTCGCTTTGTCCTGCACTTCGACAGAAATATATATATATATATTAATAAGAACGTGATGAATGCAGAAAGTGAAATCCTCAGTGCAGGTTATTTACCTTATATCTCATAAACTGTGGGTAAATGCCGACCGCGATGTGCATTTAAAGCAGACAAGCAAGCAAGAAGTACATTTTGTGAATTTTGATTGAACAACTGAGAAGCATTTTCTACCCGTTTCTTTATCTGGAGAAATAAAAGAAAGAAAATGGAGAGGATTACAAGTGCGCAGCCGCCTCCTTGTTTGGTAAAACACCCGTCGCTGGAGATCCCTGACATACAGGGGTAAGTTTAAAACATTATTAGCGCTTAAATCCCTTATATAAAATACAACTGCGAGCTAAATTCGTGCGACTTGCAAACTTTTTCCTTAATAAAAAATCTGTTACATGTTCTTGGGAGCCGGTCCAATTTAATTTTTATGTCATTTATGTTAATGGTTTCTCCTTATCTGTATTCTGTAGGATGGATTTTCCAATGTATGTGTACAAATCTCGAAGGGGGATGAAACGTGGAGAGGATAGTAAGGTATGTCATTTCTTGTAGATTTTATTTATTACGACTAAGGTATTTAGCGTGTTTTTTTCTGGGTTGTAAAATTGTACAATCAAAAACTGATTTAAAAAATACTCATTGTATTTATATTCATGCAATATGTAATTTTTGTAATTTTTTTCTCGATAAAACATATTTTTCTTCGAACAAATCTCACATTAGTTGATTGGATAATATAATTAATTTGTTCGTCTACTCGGTAGGAAACTTACAAGCTGCCCCATCGACTTATTGAGAAGAAAAGGCGTGACAGAATAAATGAATGCATTGCCCAACTGAAGGATTTATTGCCAGAGCACCTTAAACTTACAGTAAGTTTGCATTTGGAATAATGTCAAAATTGTTCCGCTGACAAACGTAATCTGATGCGCCATCTGGTGGCTATTATATTGATAGCGCTACTATTTAGTCAGAGTGCTATTTTTGTAATTCATATGAGCGAAAATTAACAGTAAAATACTAAGGCATATTTTATAAAAGTGTGTATTTAAATAATTACAGACTTATTTTAAAGCTACTTGGTAATGCCTGGGTAGTACGTGTTTAGTACAGTATAATTAAAGGAGCGTAACTTTTTAAAAAGTTTGTCACATGATTTTTAGTATTGTTTTTCTATAATTATTGTTGTGGATGCAAAAGTATGCTACAGAAAACATTTTACACGACTGTATGTAAGTGTTTGATGGAGGTGTTTTGTGGTTTAGACCCTGGGCCACTTGGAGAAAGCTGTGGTTTTGGAGCTGACGCTGAAGCATGTGAAAGCTCTGACCGGCCTCCTGGAACAGCAGCAACAGAAGATCATCGCCCTGCAGAACGGCATGCAAATCGGTGAGAACATGACCAGTCACCCTCCTCAACCCAAGATATTTTCTTGCATCCTGCTTCAAAAATATCAAGAGAATTTTTAGCCATACATATCTAGTAATTAATATAATATTCATTATATATTGACATATTTGTTTTTTTTTTTTTTCATTTAAAAACTGTAAAGTTTTCTGGTTTTTGTTCTTTTTAATCATCTCTGTGTTTTCTTTTTTCTTTTTTCATGCAGGTGAGCAGTCCTCTCCCAGCACAGTGAACAGCGAGGAGATGTTTCGCTCTGGTTTCCACTTTTGTGCCAAGGAGATCCTACAATATCTGGCCAATCAGGAGGCTGGCAGGGAGGTGACATCTTCCCACCTGATCAGCCACCTGCAAAAGGTAGCGTCAGAGGTGCTGCAGAGTTCCCCCAGCCCCCACTCGGAAGAGCCCCCCCACAAGGGGGCGGAGCACAGGCAGAAGCCAGCTGGGATGCAGCCAAAGGTCTCCGAGGGCCACGGGCAGAATTGCGTGCCTGTCATCCAGAGGACTAACCCACAGGGCAGCGGCGAGCAGAGCGGCAGCGACACAGATACCGACAGTGGCTACGGGGGCGAACTGGAGAAAACGGACTCTAAGACAGAGCGGCCCGGCTATTACACCAAGGACTGCCACCTCCAGTACACTCTGGCCGAACGGATGGCGGGCACCATTAAGCAGGAGATGGATGAGCCCCAAGCTAAGCGGCTGAGGGCAGAGTCCTCCGAGGACGAGTCCCTCTCAAGCGGGGAGGTGATCAGCGTCCACAGCAGCTACATGGGCTTCTCTCCCCACCAGCCCCCTCTCTGCATGCCCTTCTACCTCATCCCACCCTCTGCTGCCGCCTATCTGCCCATGCTGGAGAAGTGCTGGTACCCCGGGGCCATGCCGGTCCTGTATCCCGGGCTCAGTGGCTCCCCAGAGAAGCTACCGCAGTCGTTTGCGGTGTCTCCCCAGGTGGGGTCCCCCATGACCCCGCAATCTCCAATGGACTCCCCCGCCCTGCTGCAAGCACTGAAGCAGGTGCCCCCGCTCAGTATGGAAACCAAAGACTGAGGACTTCTCTGTAGCTTGTTCCTGATGTGTGCTAATGCTTTTGAAAGTGACAAGATCTGTGGGTAAGGCTGTTGGGAGGAGACGAAGTTGAGTCTTCCTCCTCCTCTTCCTCCCCCGTAACTAAGAGCAGCCCTCCCCCCAGCCACTCTCCACTGACGAGCCTGCACCTTCTCGCCTGATGCACACGGCATCACATTTCACTCAGCAGGACACGGCCCTCATCTCCCGGACAAGGCAGGTAGAACAGAGGAGCGAACCAGCCGGACACTGCTAGGCAGATCCACAGAGAGACTGTCCCAATCCGAATGCCGAGCTATGAGCAGGATCCTCCTCTCTTTTCGTTGAATGTCAGCTATAAGTCCTGAGTGAAATATGCCGGATGCCCTAAATCATCAGGACGAGTCCTTTGCACACATTTATTACACGGAATGTAAGACGAAATCCCTGTACGTGCTGCTTTGGTGGTTTCCGCAACCCGTAGTCCTGGTCCCCCTTTCAGCTGTGCGCTGTGCGGCCGGCAAACTCGGGATGGGCCGAGACCCCGTCCCCAACCGCGATAGCCGTCACGCCCCCCCGGCGGTTTCCCTGGCAGCTGTAGAGGGCATCCCCGAATCTGGTGTGCGCCCCGTTCTCGCCCGGTCCTGTCGTGGGCACCGTGGCACTGGCTCTGGGATCCATGCACGCAGACGGGCAGTGAACCCCCGAGACACCATTATAGCCCCCCTCCTTGTAGCGACTTTGTTAATACTTCTTGTAAATCTCTATTTTTGATACGTGTCGTAAAAGTTCTGTATTACTCACTAAGGGGTCTTAGACTGCCGTCTCTTGTGCGCCAACAGAGACATGTACATAAGCGCTAGGCGTCAGCTGCGTCGTTACCAGTTTTTGATTTCTAGTCCAGTCAGGCCTGTTCTTTGTTCATGCTGATGCCTTTTACCCGTGAAAGCTGATCAGTCAGTCGACGTCAGTCCTTTATTAAATGTATTTGTATAAATACTGGAGTCAAAAGTTGAGGAAGATAAATGAATGTAACATTTTAAACTGAAGATTAGTTTTGTATAGGCAGAGGTACTTGAGATTATATATTTTGGGACCTATCAGAAGGTTGTTTGATGTACATATTTTATCTATAAATACTGAGATATGTTATATAAGCATATTAATAAAGTATTTTTTTGTCCAGCATTTGCTTGATTGTCTCTTGGTGTGAAGAACACATTAAAAGGAAATTTAATCCTGGTGTATCGATTTCAGTCTCACCACTGTTACGGAACAGCCCGCAAGAGCACTTGTGTAATTAGCTGGGCTTCTACCTATTCATGCATGGGAGCTGCCACATTCCATTCACTGGCATGCACACTGACTTTGAAAAGTACTCAGCTGGAGTGGAAATGTTACTAAGACAAACCATGTCTGGTTTCTCTAGTCTATTTAGTATAACAGAATCAGACCCCGACTAGATGCATCCCGCCACAAAACTTGTTTACGCTCCTAACCAAGTGGTACGCTTGTCGTGAGTGAATGGCGTGCTGGTTCGTGCTGCAAGACCTCCACAGACAGGAAGTGCTGGTGGGTGCATCACGTGCACTTTACACACAGCACAAACCCTCAAAATGTTTCATCTGAATAAGAAGCTCTACCCATTTATATATGAGGCTTTCGTTATTAAGCGAATGACTCTCTCTGAGCAGTAATTCTACTGATCAATGTCCAAGTTTTATCTATGAAGTATAGGAGTTATTATTATTATTATTATCAACAACAATAATAATATGTTAATAGCAAACTTATTATGAAGTATTGGTATTTAAAGTATGAGAAGCATCTTTCATGAACCTGTCGGCGACAAAAATAAATCAACATGTGCTCTCAGTGGCCAGTTTTTTGGGTACACCTGCTTGTTATCACAAACATACTGTTCCTCCAAACATCCTGTTCCTTCAAACTGCAAATCATGTGGCTGCAGCATGCAGACAGGGTCAGGAGGTTCTGTTACTGTTCAACTATGCATTTCAACAGCCAAGATGCTGGATCTACGTGATTTTGAACATGGTGTGATTGTTCGTAACAGACGTGGTGGTTCCAGCATGTCAGGAACAGCAGGTCTCCTAAGATTCCTCATGCGCTACAATGTTTGGAGTTTATAGAGAATGGTGTGATGAACCAAAAAGACATCCAGTAAATGGCTTTACTTAGGCTAGACAGAACACTTTAATAAGAGAGGTCAGAGGAGAATCGTCAAACTCATCAAAGCTACCAGGAAGGCCACAAATGCAAAAATACCAGCTCCATACAACCATGGTGTGAGGAATAGCTTCTATGACAATACAACATATTTACTCTTGGAGTAGTTCTGAAGGCAATAGTGGGTCATACCTGGTATTGGTGAATTATACCTAATAAAGCACCCACTAAGAGTACTTTCAGTATTATTGTTTATATAATAAACACTTTTAGACAAAATATATCAATTTGCAGTTTAGGTCATTTTATGGTAAATAAATAAAGTATTTGCTGGAGTGCGGAACCCACATGATCCTGAAAACTGGGCAGCCTGGAAAGATGCAGTCAGATAAACCTAGTCCCTCCCTTATCTGCTCACGTGAACCGAGGAACCATTTTTTTTTTCTCAGACTCCTCAAGTGTTGACTGTGTGGTCACATTGAGAGAGGGCAGCTGCTTGTCACATGCACTGCCACACGGCTTCTTTCATAGCTGCTGCACTGTGATTGGTGGGCTTGTCTACACGTCACAGATTGCAGTTGGTGTGGAGCCTGGGTGACTAGTAAGCCAGCGGTACAGCTCAGACGTGCACATTGCTGTCCTCAGCTCACCCCCCCTGCTCTGTTCCAGGCCTGCTAAGCAAAACAGTGCAAGTAAACAGTCTAAATCTCAATCCAGGCCAAATAGTTCATTTTAACTAAGTGAGAGGTTAAACTGCATCTTTTCATGCTCATTTAACATAAAATAAAATTTAAAATGAATTTTAAACTTTAGTACATTAAAGGGAAAAACATCCCTGTGAAAAAAATGTTTAAATGCATTTTCAAGAATTGTTATATGTATGTAATGCATATATTCTCTATTACACGAATATCTGAATATTTAACTCATTTCCATTTTCCTAGAATTACTTATTGAAGGAAGTTTTTTTCTGCAAACCTTGTTTTTATCCCACAAAGTACAGGGCAAGATATATACCAGGCATGATGTTTTCATGGGACATACAATTTAAATAACCACTACTGCATAGTTTGATGGATGGAGGGTTGGATGGATAGCTTTAAGTAATTTATTGTTTTTGCATATTTTGAAAATGAATCATCTGTAATTTGAGGATCTTGTGTGATCTGTGGAGGATGAGGAATGGCTTAATTGAAAATATAACGGCAGTAGTCATAAAATTCTTTTTTCATTTAAATTTTGAACTATCGCCAGGGACACTAAAAGTCATGGCTTCCCCCCTCCCACCTCAACACCCCAGTGTCCCTGAATGCCTTCTTCCCCTTTATTGTCAACAATGAAGAATCTCACCTAGACCCTATTAGAAATAACTGCAGATAATAGGAATGTTGCTTTAAGACTGTTTAAAAAAGGTGTCAAAATGAATTGGTGGATATATAGAAATATAGCAAATAGAAATAATGTATTGTTCTGATATCCTCATAACCAATAGTCACTGCCCTCTGCCATATAACATAGACTACCACAGAGAAAAGCTTTCAAATCTAGTGCCCCATACAGTATGAAACAATACTGCATGTAAAAGATCACAGCCAGGGGCATCACGTGCTGGACCTCCTGAATTTGTTAGGGTGTCCATGCCCCTCCAGCGTCCCTGATGATAGCAGCGTCACAGAAGCACATTTTTCATACAAACTGTAGCGTTGGCGCCATCTGCTGGTGTAAATGGGCAAACACATATTTATTTTGGACTCCAGAGTTGCATTCTCTGTCTTCTCATTCTCTTATTCGAGAGTGATACACAATTCTAATGATTATCCTCATTTTTATAGGTATAATACAATTCCTTAACTATTACTACTTTGTAGCGCAGTAGAAAGAGATAGCCGATCAATAGGAGAAGCATAGGTGACACATTTTATTGTTGGCCAGTCCAAAAGGTGCCATGCTTTGTTCTTTGCTGTCCATATTAGCTAGATAGATTGCCAGATAGGTCACTAAAGATTTCACTGAGAAAAAGTTCCATATATCTGTTATTTGACTCAAAACTGTAAAATACTGATATTTTAAAAGAATTATTTTTATGGCCTGGTGCTCAGCTTTACCTTATTGAACTGGAATAATAATCTTAATCCAGATTTAGGATTGTTAAGTGCAAGTGCTTTAAACACAAAACCTATGAACTGATAAAAGTCTGAGTGTATATTTTCTTTAGATTCCATTATATTTTCCATTGCATTTTTTTTTTCATTTTTCTTACATGTACCACACATATACATGATCAGATTATGGATGCTTCCAGTTAAAAATTAAATTTACTAGTTACTAGTTTCTAGTTAAAAATTAAATTTACTACAGATTCCATTTCATTAGAATCAGAATAAACATGTTCAGTGAACATGCAGGATCTTATTAGTATGTAAATGCTCTTAATACTGACCTGGATAAGTGTTTGAAAGATGGTGGATGGAAATTATTATTTTTGTAATTATTGTGTAACTGAATACTCCATATTTCTGAATACTTAGTCTGCCTGAGCACTTTAACATTTATTTTACATTAAACACAACAGGGTTTGGCCATCGTAATGGATATCTACAGCAGTTCATTTCTTGCGGCAGTTTTGCATTTTGAAACACATAAAGTGACATTTCTCCATCCATATAAAGAAAATCAGTTACCTAATAGATGGTTGTTATTCATATGGATCTATTGGTATAATGACCAATGCTTATCTAAACACAGGCCATATTTAAAAAAATTCTAATTTCTAGAAAATGTGAGTGTCTACTCTGTGGTGGCCTAGCATCCCATCCATGGTGTTCCGCGGCCTTGTACCCTGTGGTGACCTGGCATCCCATCCAGGTTATTCTGTGGCCTTGTACCCTCCGGTGCCTGCGATTGGATTTCCTCTCGACAAATCGGAATGCATGCGTGACTGATGATCGCTTCAGCCAAGGCCAAAAGAAGCTTGGGTCCTCTCAGTTCATTAACTCCACACCTAATGTTTCAAGTGACTTTTATTGACAGCAGCTGTACCACCTGCAGTTCAGGCTATGTGATCCATCTGAAGCTAAGCACGTTTGGGCCTGGCCAGTACTTGGAACGGAGACCAACTGGGAAAGCTGGGTTGCTGCTGAAAGAGGTGTTGGCGTGGCCAACAGAAAAGCACATCCTGTAGTCTGTGTTGATCCCAATCCTGAAGTGATGGGGACATGGTGCTGTCCTTTAGATGAGAAGTAAAACCAAGGTCCTGACTCTCTGAGGTCATAAATGATCCCTGGGTATCTTTTGAGAGAATGGGGGGGTTCTGCAATGTCCCGGCTAAATTGCCCACTGTGGCCCTATCAAATCTGGCCTCCAAATCATCCCCTATATCCAACTGGTCCCTTCACCACCTTACCTATCGTGTGGTGAATATACTGGCACCGAATGGCTACTGTTTCATCATCCAGGCGGGTGCTACACAGTGGGGGCAGCTGAAGGTGGTGGCTTCCCATTGGTTCTGTGAAGTGCTTTGGGTGTCTGGAAATGTAACGTCCATTTATTATTGCGAGCAGAAGGTGGTGCTGTCTAGGCAAAGCACTGTGACACTCTGAATGGATGAATATGAGAAACTGTAATAATATTCTGCATCATCATCATAGCAGACATTACAAACATCATTTAATCTAAAAAGAAAGTAAATACTACTAATTCAGTATAATTATCAATATCATGACCCATAAGCAGTGTTAGTCCTGGGATCTTTCCCTCCCCGGAAGCACGTGCTGTCTTGGTTCCCCGCACGGTTGAGTGGCGGCACACCTTGCACGCGCGCGCCAGCAGAGGTCATCATTTCAGCTGTTGATCCGCGCCCCTGACAGTCTGGCCCGCGTCGCCTTCCCAGCGCCGAGCTCGCTCCCAGCCTCGCGGTCATATGACAGATCGCACTTCCTGCGCACCCGCCGTACGTCGCGCTCCCGGCTCGCGCTCCGCGAGAGGCACCGACTACGCTCGCTCCTGCGTCGCCCTCCAGCCGCTCCGTCTCCGGCCGCAAGATGCTCGCCCTTTTTAACCGGCTTCTGGACTGGTTCAAGTCCCTCTTTTGGAAGGAGGAGATGGAGCTGACTCTGGTGGGACTTCAGTACTCGGGGAAGACGACATTCGTCAACGTTATAGCCGTGAGTCGATAAGTCGGCGTCTCTTCGCGGCCGAAAAGCGGCGTGCGCTAGGCGCAGGTGGCACGGAAGCCGCCCAGCGCTCCGCGCGCTTAGCTGGGTAGCTTTGTAAACAAAGAGCTCTAGCTGTTTGCTTCGGATGTGCTGTTTTCCTGTGACTAGCTAGTTAACTAGCTGCACAGCTAGCTTAGGAGGACGCTGGACGATGTTAAGATCTTATGATATCCGGTCGTTTTGCACGCCTGTAATCCACAAATGTCTGTCCGCTTACCGAAGTATATCACCTGACGTGCCCCGTTTGCGGTTAGCCTTAGCCAGCTGGGAGTCTGTGTGCGAACCCGACTTGAGGTTAAGGCCGGCCGGCCGTCGGATGTGCTTTCACCCAGCTAAGCCTGGTCCTCTGCCTTTCTGCCACCTCTAGACGAATGACGGGCCGTAAATACAAATTAAGTACATCTAAATATCACGAAGTGCGTTTACCTTAAATTTATTTATACCGCAACGCATCATGCACTGACTGTACGGTGGTGTGTAGAGACAGAACAGGCACGTCGCATTATCAACATGCGTCGGTAGTGAGTAGCTAAGAATAAAAGCAACGCGCGACTGAGCTGTTTTCGCAGTCATGCGGGCGGCGCTGGAGTGCCCGTGATATCAGATATTGGGAAACAAGTCCGTTGCCAGCTTTTAGACTTTTGTTTTTATTCTTAGTTTCAGATAAAAGATCGTCATGTTTTCTGTGTACGAGGTTACACCTTATTTTCGGGTCACCCAAAAAAAGGATGCATCCCTTGTATGACCAAGCCTGTATAGTGTGTGATTTTTATTTTATTTTATTTTTCATAAAAAAAATATGATGAGGTGAGGCAGATGCTCCTAATATCGGTCTCATGAATGTGATCTGAAACCCCACGCCTCATCTTACTATGAGTGGATGGGTCCGAGTCCGGGTCCGACTCATCGTCCCGTCTGGTGTGATTGGTCGCGGTTCCGACACAATACCGCATCGGAGCAGTAATGTGCCAGAACATGTACATACTGATTGACTGCAATGAAGACTGTACAGTGGAGTTGTATAGCTGCCGAAATGGAAATTAGGGTAGGGGGCGCATTCATTGTCTGAATAAAATTTGGGTGATGTCCTTCGGCTTATAACGTGCCTTTATCCGATGTAAATTTGTATTTCGATCAGCTCAACACACACGTTTTCTAATCTACAGTGCGGGATGAACCCTAGGAAGTTTTCTTTACCCTTGAAGTCGAGCAGTGAATCATTGTAATAGTTTTGTTGGCTGACGGTACTGTGAGATGTAATAATGATGTGTATTAGTAAAGCACCTGACTGCATCCATACTTGAAGTTGTGAGTCACAGGCACTGGGATGTGCAGGGAGGTACTTAATCCTAGATAATGACTGAGACTGTACATGACTGCACTTGAGTTCTTCACCTTGTATTAGATCTGCTGAAGTAGGAAAAGCATAAAATTCAGATAAAGCATCCCTCATATTAATTTAGTTGAAATAGATTTTTTTTTTATCCGATGAATTTCCTTATCTAGTGCTTATGGAAATGACATAAAACATTTAAAAACTGGAAAATGTGTTTAATGCAACTAATGGTATTTATTTTATAGGTATTTATTTCTAATTTGTGCTCTTAATGTGCTCATGTGACAGTCTGGCATCTTTCCCATGGAGATCCCCGGTGTCACGCCCCTGGCTTCTCAGAAATGGCTTTGCATCACCGAGACTCTTATTAGATAAGCAGCAACTGAAAAATGGATAGATGGATGTGACTCGTATGTCAGCAGGCCAGGCGTGTCAGGTGGTGTTTTCCGCACCTTCCGTGGTCCTAAACCAAGGAGCCAGGCTTAATAACCTTGTCGCCTATATTATTTTTGGAAGTGTTTTGTGATATATCGATGTCAGTAAAAATTGCTGTCCTGAAGTGGCATTTGTAGACTGAACCTTCTCGCCCTCCATGTTGAGCTCCATTGTGTTTACAAGTTTTTAATTAGGCCACAGTTGTGGTTAGGTAGTCTGCTTAGCTGAGTCTAGGTGTTAGTATGTAATGAAAATGCGAATAAAGTAGGCTTGGGCGGTAATACGGTAATATGGTATACCGCGGTATCTAAAAATAGCAACGGTTTCAGTTTCAATACCATTATACCGTCATAAAAACAATGCACTTATACAGGAGACAAGGATTAAATATGAAATACAATTTATTTAATGCCTAAAAATGCGTATGCGTGGTTGTCATCACGTGACAGCGTGAAGGAGAAATAGAGAGGTGGGGAAAGATGGCGAGTCGCGCACCAAGTGACCTGGTCTCGAAAAAGAACACTTCTTCTGCAGTTTGGCAATATTTCGGGTTTCGACCGAACGAGAAGGGAGATGCGGTAAATACGGATTTATTTAATTGATTCAGGTATTTTTATTTGGTTTACGTTAAAAACAATATTGGAAATAAGACTGGAAAGAAGTTTTTGTTTAGGACTATTGCTTTGCTATACTTTTTATAATATGGATATGTTTATGTTAATTCAACTCTGGTTGACTGTTGTGGGTCTATTTGCACTTTTTTATAAGCTGCTCTTCTTTATTAAAAGTTGTTCAGGCGGTGTGATTTAATTTGATTTGTGTGCGCGTCTCTGCGCGAAAACTGTTCTGGATGTTTATGTTAATTTAATTCTGTTTGACTGTTGTATTTGCACTTTTTTATAGACTGCTATTTGTTGCTAATAAAAGTTGTTAATATTGTTCTGCATGTTATTTTGTTATTGTTTCAGTATTAGTGTTTGGTATTCAGTTTCTGAACGGTTTAGGCACAAGCCAACAGTTTGGTGACGCTGTCTGAGCCTTAAGTCACAATTTTTTTATTATTCACGGTAATACCGTATACCGAGGTAAAATAGGGAGGAGGTTTGACGGCATCAAAATTTGGATACCGCCCAAGCCTAGAATAAAGTGCTTCTGATGAACTGCTATTTGTAGTTGGGTATTTTGTGTTCAGGAAAGCTAACATTTTTTTAGTCCCTGTTGTTGATTCAGGCACTTGTGGCCTGTCTGTATCCATGACTGGTGTGTGGAGGTGATTAAGGCTTGTGCTTTGTGTGCCTTTGTGTGCTTTGTCACCCAGATGTACTGTAGAACTCCGTAGGCAACTTGTGGCCGTATGTCCTCTTTAATAAATGGCTTCTTTTGACCTAATATATTCTTTTCCCCGATTCTTGGCCATTGACATTGTGATGTCATCTCCATGTGCCTAAGGACTGAACTTCCCTTTTTACATCTCTGTTCATAGCACCATAACTGTCATTTGAAGTTACTGCTACTGTACTCTTAGGAGAAGGGCGGTTAAACCAGGCCAATTCGTGCCCAGCCAGGGGAATGAGAGAGAACCACTGTATGGAAGGGAGAATAATGTTTATAATAACATATCAGTATCGGTCTAATGTGTCTCCCCATATTTTAACTTTAGCTCTGGTGCTGTTAAACTTTAAATAGTGATAAAGACACAACTACGAAAGTAATTGAGTTGAGTGCATTGGATGGTCAGCCATTTTCCGTAGTGGAAGACAAGGGATTTTATTGCTTCATTACCTTTTTTTTACACATAGCACTGGTATTACAGAGGTTGATTGTCTTGTAGCACAGGCCGCAAAACTATAGCACCAGTATAAAACATTTGTTCCCATCTCTAAAAGCAACTACAGGGTGCAGTTCATTGCTTAACAGGTGCGTTACTGGCAAAGGACATACAGGGCACACAAAATACACATTTTTAATTTTTTTAAATTTGCTCGTAAAGGTAGATTGCGGTGACATAACTGTTATAACATCCTAACACATCAATATATTACACTTAAAATGATCAGTGCAAATCTTACTTTAAATTAAATTAAGAATGTGTGTAAATCACTAATAAGAGAAAAAACACTTAGTGATGTTGAGAAATGCTGTTTGTTTGTTTTGTATGTTGTCTGTTTTTAAAATGCTGTTACCCACTATGTAAGGATTGTCTACTTTTGATCTTTTCTGGAGCCTCCCTGCACCAGCAACAGAACAAGAGCTACTCTTTCGCGTCAAAAATTAGCCAAGGGAAGTGCCTTTTCCACTTGGTGTTATATTTCTCATTTTGTCCCTTGTGTTTCATCCTTGTTTTCATTTGGCAGTGGTTGTTCTTGAGTTTCTTCTTCAAGCTCATTTTGGGGACTGGATTAGCACTTAATACTGCTTCATTTTGTTGTCATCTAGCTCGCTACCTCCACCCACTGAGGAAACGTGCTCCGTTTGCTAGGAGTTGTGGGATGTTGTATGTATGGACTCTGCACAGATGGGGACATTATTTTTAATCGCACGATAGGCTTCAGCTACCAGGTAGAATAGCAATGTGCCATTGACTCCCCTCACATACAAACAAGCACACAAACCCCTGACACACACAAAAAAACTATATTGCAGGGGTGCTACTTTGGTAAATTTTATTCATCGCCCTTACCAATTCTTTTGTAGCACGTGTGACGTCTGTCGTGCTGTACAGTCCTGGATGCCTCCCATGCCCCCCCCCCCCCATGCGGGGGGATCAATCACACTGTCCAAAAATATAGGATGCATTAGTTCAAAATGGGACACAGCATTTTATTTCACAATACAGGGTGATTCCATGAAACCCGGGATGGGTGGCAGCTCTGCTTAGAGCCTGCGAGAGAGTCTTATACAGTTTGGACCTTGTTTGCAATTCATTGTTATTTCTAGACAGCAGATTGATCTTTCTTTTTCCACAGAATCAAATGATTCCACTTAGTTTGACTGGGGGCACTCGCTTATCCATATCGGTCAACATTTCAATATTGGTGCATCACTAACCCAAATGAACTGTTTTAAGTATATGTTGGAATGTGCGAAGTCTGTTCTGTTGGACTCAGGTCCTAGAGTAAGACTGTGTCTTGATAGCTAGTGTCTGTGTTGCAACCCCCCGGTAAGAAGTTATGCGGTGGCTGCTGTGTCGTGCAGAAATGTAGCTAAAATTCTATTTTGGAGGGGGAACTGACGTTATGGCATTTATGCTTTACCATTAATCTAAATTTACAATTGACCCTGCTTCATTCTGCGTGTGTGTGTGTGTGTGTGTGAGAGAGAGAGATATTATTATTAAGCCTATTGTTTTAAAATCAAAATATTGTACATTTTATTTTTTTTAATTGTCCAGTTATAGTGATAATACAGATTACATTATTATTATTAGTATTATTATGACTTATTTTACAAATTTTACATTTCTTCATTCAGCACTGTCAGCAGACACTTTTTGTCCAAAGCAACATGCAAGTGAGGGTCAGACAGCAGGCTCAGCCAATGTGCCTGTAGCGAAAGAAGTTAAGGGTCTTTCTCAAGAAGTCACTTTTTTGGTCACGGGATCTGAACTGCCAACCTTGCGATTATAGTCCTAACCTGCAGAGCTACACACCAGCCCTGTTTACTGAATCAATACAAGTTAATGAGTTTTCAGGAACGATCTGAAGCCTGTATGTTCCACTTTTGGCATATGAGTGTTGTCCTTGACCGTTACCCATCTCAATCGAAAAAGAATATGCCGCTTTTCTAGAATGGCTTTCCCTCACACCTGCCTCGCTTGCATTGTCTGATCTTGCCATCCTGTTCATATCTTAGGAAACAGTATGGTTAATTTAAAATATATTATGAAACTTATTATGAAACCCATTTCTGCATCATACTAGGATCTGACTGATATGAAAGTTTAATTTCTCATACTGATTTTAAGTAAAAAAAAATTGATGGCTGATACCAGCAAGTATATTAATAATGTGGCCAAAAATCAGACACCCGAAGTAAGTCTTTCACTGACTGATGTGATTGTCAGTTTGAGAGACTGAGTCTTAATTTATACAAAAAAACAAGCAAATAATGTGAACTCTCGTCAGTCAAACGAGCACATTTAAATTACATTGCCTGTTATACTTAACATTATTAGTGAATAATTGGCAGGTTTTTCACCAATGCTGATACATTTGTGGAACCATAATATTGGGAAGGTAACTATTATATCGATTGTGCCCTGAGTCATTTGTGTTTATAAACTTTGCTAAGGAGATTTTGTGATGCAGTGGGGGGGGTGTCCAGTGATGGCCTGGCATCCTGTCTGGAGTGTTGCCTCGTGCTTCTCTGCCTCATTCCCTGTGTTTCCTGGGATAGGCTCCAGGCTCATGACAATCCTGTTACCAGTTTTACGCGCATATATGAACATGGTTTCTTGGTTGTCTGAACAAATTCCCAGCTCTTATTCCAGCATCAATTTCTTTTTAAATATTAAAGATGCACACAAAACAGCTGAGTGACAGTAAGAGTCAGTTGTATCTTGTCAGTCTGCTTTTTTCAAAGTCATACGTGGCCTAAAAGTTTAGTCTGCATCTCATTTCTTCCCCTTTTCTCCTTTAAAGAGAATGTGATTTGAGGCGTACAGTCATTAGGTTTTAGCACTTATGACCGCTTACTTGTTTAACAGGGTAACAGGAAATATGTTCCTTCCGTGTGCGAGTCACTCGTCACAAGACTCTCACACTCCCTTCCACTTAGGCCTAGTCAGGTGACCAGGCTTCTTCATACAGTAGACTTGCTATACGGCATGCTGAAGATGAACAAGAGGAGCAACAGCATGTTGCAGTCATTTAAATTGAATTTTACCAGGAGTAATTACCTAATGTAATTATACATAGTGTTCTGTGGTTCTGTAATATCTGTTCTTTGTATTTAAAATTACATTTTATTATTAGTCTTTTAAATAAGTTTCCTTGATGGTTCACTTTTGTCAGTTTGCGTTTCTGAAATTTTAGTTTTTGTTAGTGAAGCATGACTTAAATTTTGTATTAATATATTAAAATAAAAGTCGAACTTCCTCATGTGTTTTCTTTTGCTCTTGTTTTTCAGTCTGGACAGTTCAGCGAAGACATGATCCCAACAGTCGGTTTCAACATGAGGAAGGTCACCAAGGGCAATGTTACCATTAAGGTGATATGCTTGGCTTGCCTCGGTTTCATTCCCTTGGCCCCCTTCTCTTTCCTGCTTGCTTTTTACTTTGTCTTCAGCTATGGAAACACAGTGCCCTCTTCAGTCCAAAAGAGTACACTGTCTGTCATGAATTTTGATTCTGGTAAGTTTGGTAAATGGTCAGGGAAATGCGTCCCCCCCCCCCCAAGTGTCCTGTATGGTTATAAACACCTTATGAGGGTGTCTTTCTGTACAGGCCATAATGCTTTGAGAATAAAGAATCCACGCAAATGTTCTTATCTTCGTATGTAATCATATTGGTGCTGAATTAGGAAAAAGACATTTTTCAACATGGATCATTAACCTTTTTTTCTGGAGAACACCCAACGCCCTTTTTCCGTGTTAGTTTGAAGATGGATGTTGTTGCATAATGGCTTTGTATTAAGCGCCCTTAAAATTCAGTAGGTGCTTTGCTATTCACATCAAAAAGGAATACCATTAAATAGTCAGGACTGTAGAGGTAATCGTTTTTATTGCCAGGAATGGCTAGTTAAGAAAAATGTTGTTCAGGATTTATGTGAGTGAATAAGATGCTGTAACACATACCACAAGTTAGTCCCTAAGTTTCATTAGGCATCTTTTTTGCAGCGGAAGCCTCTCATTTGACACGGGGTGGGGTGATGGCTGGCTGGCTGACTGCTGTTTTGTTGTGGTCTTCCGTCTGCCTCTACAGATTTGGGACATTGGTGGGCAGCCCAGGTTCAGGAGCATGTGGGAGAGATACTGTCGAGGTGTCAATGCTATAGTGTGAGTACACTGAAGGAACGTGAGACAAATTGCTACAAGCACGACTCGTTAGGGTTAGGGTTGGCATAGCCGGTGAGAGAATCACATTCAGCACTCATGGAACAGTGATAGTTATTTAAAAAAATAATGATAATCTGATATTTATATATCAGTAACAATGTGGTTGCAGAAATGTAAACGCCAAGTAATTCGAAGAAACATTTCAGCAGTAATTAGATTTAAGTGCACTTTTATCCATTGTTTATATAACCCGAGTGATGATATTGTCTGTTCGCATATGACTTCTTGACACTTGGATGTTTGTCAGTTACATGGTGGACGCAGCAGATCGCGAGAAGGTGGAAGCATCCAGGAATGAGCTGCACAATTTGTTAGACAAGCCACAGTTACAAGGGATCCCTGTGAGTGCCCGCCGGTGTACAGCGGTACAATGCAGCTCTTCTGTGATGCACTTCTTTACTGCCTATGTCTGAGCTCTTGGAGTTCAGTTCTTACCATTTATTTGGTGCAAACATAAGCTTAAATCTGCTTGAAATGTCTCGGCCGTTGGGAATTTCCTGATTTGTGTTGAGGATGGCATGGATTTGCAGTGCCTTCGCTCCTCATAAAAGGTCCTCGGCTCACCCTTGCAAATCCCCCACCCTGCACCCCCGGGACATTTTGCAGATCCCCTCCCGACCCACACACGCTCCTTGCCAAAGTCTGTTAGAATCCCAGATGTGTTCATCAGCGACCCTGTTACGCTTCTGTGGGCACAGGCAGAAGTGCCTGGAGGTAGCCAGTCCATTCAGCCATTCAAAAACGGAGCACTATCTAGGATTCCCTTACTGTCCCAGCTCTGGACTCTGAGGCTTCATTTATTGTACTTTTTTGACTCTTATTGGCTATTAACATGGCTATAAAAATAAGGTCATGTATGGTTGTCACTGCAGGTACAATGAGGCCCTTTATCCAGGAGCAACAAACCCAATTAATTTTCTGGGCTTCAAAGATTTCTCATTTCATGTATTTTAGAGCTTGGATTTACCATGCTGGTGAATGCCAGATAAAGTACTGAATGCCCTCATCTCATCTTTTTCAGGTGTTGGTGCTTGGCAACAAGAGGGATCTTCCTAATGCTTTGGATGAAAAGCAGCTTATTGAAAAAATGTGAGTATGATGCGATTTATGAGCCGGGATTAGTTACTTGTTTTCCTGGATCAGTAATACAAAATGAACACTGACTCGTGTAATTCATTAGCAAGCCAATGCCCATGAGCAGAACTATAATGGCGCTTGTCCACTGTACCTGTGCTGACACAGCCTGGCTTACTAGCAGGGCCAAAAGCGTCACCAAAGTGAGCTGATTATGTCGCCACCATCTGATTCGTCAATGCTCGGAGATACCAGTGAACTGCGTCAATATTCATGGATTATCTGAAGGAAAAAAAAGGCAAATTCTATATATTATGAATTATTTGTAGTATCGCACATTCCAATTTATTGATGCATTCCCGGTAACTCAGAACATGAAAAATTCCAACATACTACTTGGAAAAAGTACTGTAGAACAACTGAATGGAATGGACTCATTGCGCAAATTTACATAAGCAAATGCTAATTCCGCTAGCGTTTGATATTTACATAACACGGCGAATTCTTACAGATGTGCTAGCGGAAATTAGCACACAGGAAAAAAACGTAATTTCACACAGTAAATCATGATGTACAACGTGTGAACAGTACATAAGCATCTCTTCAGTTTTACATCACTGTTGCTCTGCAAAGCTGGCTACGCCTTTACTACTTCACTATTTGACGGAATGCATGTCTCACTTTCATTATGTGTAGCTTTCTTGGAAGCAGGGAGTCTGCTTTACAGTCCCCTATTATAGTTTTATGGGGTCTGTGGATTAATTAGTACTCCGCAAACTCCAGGTGTTCCCCTAAACTTGCTTAATTTTGGTTATGTTGAAAATTAAAATGTTGTCCTCGAATGCTATGTTATAACCAGTCACTCACCCCTGGTCTAAAAATTGTTTGAATTTAATTTGCAATTTAATTTATTTACTGTATATTGATACTGTACCAAAATGTAGATTAAGTTCTATAAAAGCATACAGCAGAAAAACGTTTGGTCTCAAACCAGCAAATGTCTTTAGCTGTTGGCTGCTCTTTATTAGATACTAAAGCTAGTAGCTTATTTAAAATGCTAATCACTTCAAAACACAACCAGTACAACAAAAAGTTATTGATTATAACATTAATAATATGATTGATTGCTTAATTTATTTTTATTTTCTATGTGTGTCATTTTATTGCCTTTTTACCTATTATTGTATTGTGTGTGTGTGTGTGTGTGTATATATATATATATATATATATATATATTTGCAGGAACTTGTCAGCTATCCAGGACAGAGAGATTTGCTGCTATTCAATTTCTTGCAAGGAAAAGGACAACATAGGCAAGTGTGATTGAGATGCGGTATCTCTCTCATCATAAATATTACGCACCTTAAATGGTTGTTTAATGGCACAGGTCAATGCGTTTGTATTTTAACATCATAAAACGGTAATCTTTCATTTTCCTTAAGCAATTAATAAAAATAAAAAAAAAACGGCCATGGATAAAATTGAGACCACAGGACAGTTTTTTTTTGTTTCACTCATTTCTCAGTTTCTGGGTGTGAGTCTGTGAATATTATATATATATTTTTGCAAACTGCAGCCTGGTTCTTTCTTTCTCCTGAAGGGCTTCATTCTTGTTTTTTGGGACTGCCTTTAGATGCCTGATACGATGCTGTCCTAGCAGTGCACTTCGCACCTGCACTTAATGTTTCCCATTCCTTTTGAAGGTCACTTGATGTCATCCTGCGATTCACGAGAAACTGTTGGATAAGTCAATGGCCATCTCTGGCATTAGAAATTCGCTTCTGCCCTTTAGCTGGTTTCTGGTCATTCTCAGTGTCTCCTGCTTCACCTTATTCTCATGTACTGCTGTCTTAGAAATTTTGAACCTGGAAACAACCTGCTGCTCAGTGTAGCCAGCAGAACCACGATTATAAACCAGGATTTAAAAATGCAGATTTGTTTAAAAATATAGTGGTCTCTTTTTTTCCACGGCTGTATGCACAATTAGAATAACCCTGAAAAGCTGTAATCACAAATTAAAACTTTGAAACTCCTTGGAAGCCTGACTATCATTGCTTTATGTGTGACGTTTCACTGGAAGTGTTTTTCTGCTTTTAATGCTAAATTTAAAACTCTGTTTTTAAGGCTCTCACTGGCAGAGATAATGCTAACAAAAGCAGACTGTTGATGGTCTGTTTTTCCACAGACCTTTTGTGCAAACGAAATACATAAGCAGGCTGTGTCTCACTGTCACACTTATGGCATTGATGTCTCTGTTTCTGACCCAGTGTGCTTCTCTCTCCACAGATATCACACTGCAGTGGCTTATACAACACTCAAAATCCCGGAGGAGCTGAAAGTCCAAAACTCATCCCTGTCCTTTCCCCCATGGTTTTGTCTGCCTCATCTGTCATCCTGCTCCTGCTATGGAGGCGTTCAGTAGTCCGGCCCCCCTCATGGCAGTGTTGTGCACCACCCAGTCCACCCACCAGCCACGCAAACCCCCCCCACCCCCTCCATACCACCACCATTCACTCTGGTCTGCCTTGCGCACTGCTAAAAATGTAGTAGCCTTCAGCATCAAGTCCATAGCTTAAAGTATCCTAGAGTTGTTATGACAGTCGGTTTGAGAAAACCAAAAACATTTTGAGGCGGAGGGACCTAGCGGCCAATCCCTGGCACGTCCTCCTGCTTCATCATGCCAAATTGCAGGTCTTTTTTATTTATTTAATTTAAAAAACTTGTTGGAAATTAACTCCTGCAGCAGGTATCTGAAGCGCTGGCTCTTTGTCACTGGGTTGAAGCAGTCTCTCACTGTAATACACTACTCTTGCGGTTACGATGAAGGTTTCCCAACCCAGCCCAGTTAACCCTGTGAAATTGTAGCAGGATCTGGCAGACGTGCCGCTGCTCTTCTGTGTGTCGTGTCTCCGTATCACTGAAACTGTTAAATCATTTTTCTGATACAAATGTGTTTCGATTCATGAAATCCTTCAAAACATAATTTAAAGAAAGTGATACAATGAAAGCATTAAAAAAAAATACGGAAAAGCAGACGTAATCTGGCATATAAAAATATGTTCATAATTTCTACGGGAGAATGGATTTGTATGTATGCATATTGTTTATAGACGATGAAATGCATGCATATGCAGTAGATAGCTATTGATACACACGCAAACACACGTGCATACTTCAGTAAGAAAGCTTTGTGAATGTAACAAACCTGACCTGGTTGGGTCTGAAATTTGCCCGAGTGGGATGAAGCTTGGAGTGCTGTTAGTCGAGTAGAGAGGACAGCAGAATTAGAAGCAGAACTAGAAGTGCCTTCTGCAAAATCTCTAAAGCAGACAAAAGCATTCCAGGTGTGTACACCTGGACATCAATTCGCCGAGTATTAACACACACACATGCAGACATATATACATTCATTCATTTATATTGTGTGTATATAATGTGTGTGTGTGTGTTAATACTATATATATATATATATACACACACACACACACACACACACACACACACACACACACACATACATACATACATACATACATACACACATACATACAAACACACATATACGCATATATAAATGTAAGACATGGGCATGCTTTTAATTTTATTACTCTACCTTATTCATTGCCACAAAACTTCTACAATATCTGTATTTTAATATAGCTTTCCTGTACTGAGACAGCTCTCGAGAATGCTACAAATGCACTCGTAAATAAACAAAAGATGTGTGATAAGTGATTAACAGAAGCACAGGTTAAAGGAAGTGTTTTTCTTGAGAGCAAACTACAAACCTCTGCCCTTACAGTTTTCATACCAATGTACGCACATTTTGTGTGTGTGTGTGTGTGTGTAGGTGAGCATGTGGTCATAAAATTGATGAAAGGTCTTTTTTTTGGCTTTACATAATTCTTCACACAGTGCTTTCATTCTAAAAGTGTTTCTGCATATTTGGGAGTGTTTACAGGATGTTGTGTGCTGTCTGGGTTTGTGTGTGTCCTCCCTGCCGCACACCCCTTCCCACGCACACTCATGCTGCGTAATGTGATGTGTGACCATGTGGAGCACAGGGATTAGCACCGTGCGATGTGTGTTATTCACTCTTGAATGTCTCCCCAAAGCCTTAATGGTGAACATGTGGCTCATTATAAATTCAGGATGCATATTGCCCCCCTCCCCCAAGCCTTCTTTTTAAGATATATTTATCACAAATTGATTTTTTTGTATGTTTTTTTTTTTTTTTTTTTTTAACCATATCTTTTACTTTGAGTATGCAGCATTAGAGGTATATCACCAATGTGAATCTATTAGTCTTTTTCCTTGCATGGAGTCTTTAAGGAATAATGCACAATGCGGGATAAATGGAATATCTGAATTTGACCAACAATTAAAATACAGACCACACGAAAACTACAATTTATATTTGGGGAAAATACAGAAAATTACAGAAACTTCAAATGAAAGGTTACTGTTACCATGAGAAAATTTTTTTAAAGTACGATGTTTTACACTTTACACATGTAAGATGAAATGTATATGATAAAATAACTAAAATTATAACACACGATGTAAAAGTTGGGCATCAGTACCAGAACATTATTTTTGAGTACTTTCTGAACAGTAAAAAAGGGCCAGTTAATTAGTTCCATAGGATTTAAAGCTGCTGACTCTGGATTATGTGAAATAATTACCTCTAACGTGATTAATTGTATAGAAATGTTCCGTTTATTGTGTTGGTTTGTAATGTGCATGCACATTTTGCAGTGCAGAGCTAGCTTTGTAAATATCTCACTATCTTGACCCTGAGCAGCTTGTTTTCAGCAGTGCCAATCAATGCCCCCAGCTTAATACCCATATGGGGTTTAGCAGCACATTATATAAGTGGGATGATTTTAGAACTTAAATTTTACCAAGTTTATACCAAAAGAAAATGCAAAAGCCAAGCAAAACTGGCCTATGGCTGCAGAACGTGTACAGGGAGACTCCAGCGAGCCTAGTCCCCCAGGTTGGCTTTCGCATGGACGATACCCAATGGAGCAACATGCACCCTGTTCTTACTGCCTTGTCTCTCGTGATGGGTTTACCCCTTATATAAGTGTAATGTTGGTGATGCATCCGGTCTCGCTGTTCGACAATGCTGTGTATAGTGTACTGGGGAGAGGAATTTTTTCATTTTTCAGCTGTGCCTAATCAGATAAGGTACATCCTCATTCATATTGGTAGTATATGGACCAGGTCACCGGGAAATAAGTCACTTTTGTGGGAGAAGGCTGATCTTTCTGTTCTGTTGACCTCCTGAGTACCTCTGGGACTTTATCTGTAACTTTGTCCGTTCTGCAGTAGAAAAGTCCTCCCAGCACTGCATGTGGAAAAGGTGACAGATTTGCAAATAAGAACTAGACTGACTGATTATTTAGGTGAATTTTGTCTGGTTTTGCTTTTAATTTCTCCCACCCTTGCTCCATGATCTGTCAATAAATTTACCTTTTTTTGAGGTTTTTTCCTGTGAGCTATAAATCTGAAATGTTTTTTTTTCCTCACTATATTATGTTTTGCATTTAGTAGTCAATGTCTTTATCATACAACATATTTTATATGGTAAAAGAAAAAAAATTACAAATGGCACGTGTTTCCAGGCTTGTTTTATTTACCAGACCACATCATTTAGTTTAATGGTTTAAATTAAATCAGGCCGTTTAAGTTGTTAAGTTTTTATAAAGCTCTTAATATTAATATATAGTTTGCGAGATTCGAGATTTTCATGCTGAATTTGTAAATTCTGGTACCACCCAGAGTTCACGAATATGATTCATTCACCTCCCATAGAGGTGTCAAACACATACACTATATCCAGTTCCAACTGCGCCAATTTCAGATTCATTACAGATATACTAGGAATTATTATATATTGGCATGACAAATCGTTTTTTATGTGTGGTGGTTCGGTAGTCATTTTTGGCGAAATAATCATGACGTCGCCTTTGCGCCATATCGAGATAATCAGCATGACGCTCCGTTGTTCTCTGACGCGCTGCCCTACAGTATTATGACGCTGCATTACCGACAACCAGAGGTGCCGAATCACCCTCAGCACGCCTACGTCCAGCGCTAGTGCCCGCAGTTCAAGTGCATCTGAAAGCTTCATCCCAAAAAGTCTAAACCTGCGCATTTCCAAGAAAATTATTACTTTGTTCGGTTAAAAGCCTGTCCGTAGTGGATTTACATACATTCGATGACTCCCCTTCTAAATATCTGCCTAATAAGTCATTACCCATTATATGGTAATTAGCATTTTTTTTATTTTAAAAATGTTATCAATTCGATGCGACAACAGATTTTTTTTATAGCGAGCTTGTTTTGAACAATTTTGAGACAAAGGTGCAGCGCATATCTGAAGGTCAGCTGTGGGAAAGTTCGCACAGAAGCCAGCGAGGCTCGCCGTCGAACGGTACCTCACACTTGTGACGCTTCCATTGGCTGGAAGTTCTGCTTTCTATTGAACGAACAGCTCGCCACGACACAGAAATCAAACGGGAATCAGAAGACTGGCGTGCGCAACAGCCAATCACATTTACTCGTGTGCATCCACTTCCTATATGATCAACCAAAGGGACGGCCAATCATGTTCCAGAACCGGGGAGGGGCTGGTTTGTTGACTGGAGCCGTGTGAGAGAAACCTTGGAGTTAAGTGAACGAGACGGGGCCAATTCAGTGCTGTTTCCTAAGACATTGTCGTCGTGAATTATGATTTTTAAAGCTGCGCCAGGGCAAAGATGCAATGGAGGTCAATAGTAGTTGGTCTTCTCCTCTTGAGACTGGTTTTCAATTTTGTCATATGGCTTGCATTTGGACTGGGACCTAGCTGGGGATTCAACTTCCCCATAAATTTCAATTTCAATTTACATAAAATTGAGCTTTTCAAAGAGAAAGAAAGGGACGACTCGAGGACGAATTCGTGGTTAAATCAGTTACGTGACGATATAGACGGATATCACAGGACGTGCTCTAAGGATAATGAACATCCCCACAAGAAATCATATCTGAGCTTCTTTCAGAATGGAAAAGACGAATATGCGAAGAAGTACAGCTCCTTCCCCGACAAACTGAAGGCGGAGATGCGGGGAATGGCCAAAGAAATGTTCTACTTCGGATACGACAACTACATGAAATATGCTTTTCCTGATGATGAGCTTAACCCTATAGACTGTCAAGGGAGGGGACCAGACGTCCTTAACCCGTACGTGGCTTTCTCTTGTCTTTCTTAAATTGTCAGCTTGTTAGGTGACAGTTACAGTAGTATCTGTGTCAAGTAAATACCTGAATAAAAAGTTGGCTGCTTGTTCTGTAAGTGGCGCGTAGAGGTGAAAACTGACGTGGTGCTTTCACTATGGAATTATCAGTAAATACATGACGACGACACTAGGTTAAAACAAGCTGGTAAATGAAGTCTTCATATGCTGACAGGATGCCGCTGCGTAGGTGGATTAAGATTTCTTGTTTAAATTCTCTTTTCTTGACTGGCCATGCTATGTATCTGCTTGTGAATAACCCCCGGGTGTTAGAAAGCTGAAGGATTTCTGTCATTTGGTGACTCACGCGAATGATGCAGGACAAACGCACAAAGATGTAAGCTAAGGAATTTGGACAAAGCTAGTATGTAAATGCAGCATCTCGACGTAATACCTGCCCCTTTGAAGGCCAGCCTACGGATGGTATAGAAAATGTGCACAAGGTTATTGTTAAACTTTAACTTGCCAATCCGGTTATAAATCTGTGTTCATTAACACCGTAAGTGCCGGTCATATTGACCAGTATTTCCCAGTAATGTCCAACTTAGTTTTATCAGTAGTTAACTATACCCTGATCAGATGTAACTTCTGTTTAATACCCAGAACCGGAGGTGAATAATCACAGCATTGTATTTGTTATCAAAATGGTTTTCCCTGGACGGCTTCCTGTTGATTGCTCATGACATTAATGTGCAGAGTCGCTATGTGCTTCGCGTTGAATGTAATCCTGTGTTTTAAATGACATTGGTTAAATCAGTCTTACTGTTTCAGGTCAAACGTCAATATCAATGATGTTTTGGGGAACTATTCTCTGACCCTCATCGACACACTTGATACACTCTTGGTAAGCTCGCTGACACATTATTCTTTCTTTATTTCTCCTTATGAGATTAGGTGACTTTTCTCTTTTTCACTATGACATTTTTTGGCTTTAGCCGTACAGTGAAGCCGGAAGCGTATTGTTTGATTGTATAGATGCGACTGATCGCATCACTCTCGCCTTCCTGCGCCCCCTCTAACCACAGCCGGCTTTGGAGGGATGATGCTCCGCGTCTGACGCCGCTGTTTCCCCATCCCCTCTCGTGTGTCGGGGGCCGCAGTCTGTTTCAGTGAACTTTCAGTCAGCTGCAGGGTGTCTGTCAGGCATCTCGGCCAAGCTACAAGTGCAGCAACACCCATCAATCTTAATAATGCTAGAAGATACGGATAAATGATGTTTGTTTGCTGCCGTGGGGCCGATGCTTGTTCTGACCTGGTATCAGGTGGTGTAGCTAACCTCCAGGGTAACTCTGGCTTTATATGTTCTGTCATAGTGGATCCCTGAGACCATGCTGTCAAGACAAATCTGTAAAACATTCCTGGCCATGTCTGCCTTGCTTACTAAGCCATTAAAATGTTCATACCGGCGTGTAGGAGGGGGGGTGGGGGTCATTAGCCCCCAAGTATTTAATTTAGTTTCCTTTAATCCCCCCGCAATAAATAGGCCTTGTATTTAAAGTATTTAGTTGTGCCTCCTCAGTGAACTCTGTCCTGCACTGTTGTGTTCATATAATATGTAAGTTGTGCATAAAGAGTATATCTTAGTTAAATGTATAGCTGAGAGTAATTAACATATATCAGTTAAAGAAATTTGATTCCAATGATGTAATGTGCGCTGATGATCCAGAATGTTACGCAACTATTGTATTATTCTTAATGTATCCTTGTTCATCCTTGACCAAAGGAATGGCCATAAATTCCTGATTCCAAACAGTAGTAAATACTGTGTTTTAAATGTCTGCCTATTAACATACTTCTTAAGTTTTTTTTTTCCTTGAAGAATTGTTTAACTGAAAAATATGTAATGAATGCAATGCAAACACTAACTGATGGTATGTGTTGATATTTTTTTTTTGCTAGGTGCTGGGGAATGTGTCAGAGTTTCACAGAGCTGTAAAGCTAGTGATTGACACAGTGTCTTTCGATAAGGATTCTACTGTACAAGTGTTTGAGGCCAACATTAGGTACGACTTTTTCTTCCAGCATCTCGTTCTCATCCCCCACCTGTTTAGTTTGACACAATTTTAACGGTTAATATGCAAAGTTGTGGTTTCTCTTTCGTGGTATTTTTTTCTAAGAGCAAAGTTCCTCTCTAAGGCACAATATCATTTCAGAAATATTGAGCTTTATATACAGATGTTTAATGCTTCTAATGCAAGGCATAAAATAAAACAATGAGTTGAAAAATTGCTGTCACAAGTCATTAGAGAAGCAGAAGGTAAACATTCTAGGATATGCTGCAGAGTGGAGGCTGCGTTCTACTAACGTTCTCATGAACCAGGTGCAGCTGCTCGCTGGTTTTATTAGGAATGTGCAGTGTAGCAAAGGTTTTTTCTTCCACTGTATAACTGGCTGAGCAGTGGCTGAGCAGTGTATGAATAACAGCGACTCTTCTTTGTTGCTTCCCTCCACCTCAGGATCCTTGGAAGCCTGATATCCGCTCACATCCTTCTCACTGATTCCAAGCAGCCTTTCGGCAATGTGGGCCTCAAGGACTACGACAATGAGCTCCTGCACCTGGCGCACGACCTTGCCGTCCGGCTGCTGCCCGCTTTCGAGAACACAAGCACGGGCATCCCCTACCCCAGGGTGAGGGACCAATCTGGGAAAGGTTCAACAAAGCCGACCCAAAGGGATCCCAAGACTTAGCATACTCCTCGCACTGCAGGACATTAAAATGATATATCCTTCCCCAATAGAAGAGCAGTAGCGTTAGTGAGATTAACACGTCGCATGTAGCTTTAACTTGGCGTCTTGTGGTAGCTCACCTGGAAATAATTCTTAAAATGAAGCAGAACAGTAATATAATTGTACTGTTTATCACTTAAAAGCGTTAAAACAAATGTTGCCACGTCAATGACAAATGCTAAACAGTATTGTTTTGGTATGTAAATAGTTGGTGGCACTGTGTGGTAATGAAGCTGTGGGTTTAAGGATTTTTTTTTATTTTTTTCTCTCTTTCCCCCTGTTCCTGTAGGTAAATCTTAAGAATGGCGTCCCCCCTGACAGCATCAATGAGACGTGCACAGCGGGCGCCGGTTCCCTTTTGGTGGAGTTTGGAATCTTGAGCCGCCTCGTCGGCGACTCAACGTTCGAGTGGGTGGCCAGGCGGGCTGTCAAGGCACTGTGGAGTCTGAGGAGCAATGAGACTGGTCTGCTGGGTGAGTGCTGCTGCCGTGACAACCCCCC